CAGAGAGAGAAAGAGAGAGAGAGAGAGAGAGAGAGAGAGAGAGAAAGAGAGAAAGAGAGAGAGAGGAGAGAGAGAGAGAGGAAGAGACAGACACACACACACACAACAAGAGAGGAATCTCACCTGAAACAATCGTATGCGGCGCGGTCGCTGCGGGGCGTCCTCCTCACTCGCCTTGTACTGAAGCCACGGAGACTCCTTCTCCGGGGGAAGGTACGAATCAACCTCCTCCTGAGGCACAGCGGTCCAGTCCGTATCCTTGGGCACCCACTGTGGGAACAGCCATGCCTGGTAGTGCTGGTTATGGCTGTAAAGACACGTCAAACATCAAGTCATGTCCTCACGAAGGTTATTACTGGTTAGACAGCGCCACCTAGGGGTTATCCTGTTCAGTCAGTGCCACCTATTGGTTGTTCCTGTACAGACAGCACCACCTAGTGGTTAATGCTGTTCAGACAGCACCACCTAGTGGTTAAAGTAATTACGTCACCGTAAATAGTAAAAGTAAAGAAAATATTTCCACTTTTTCACAAAATGTAAGTAATTCTGTTTACTTTTTATGGTTAAATTGCTGCACTATACTTCCTATTTTACTATATTGTTTAATGTAAATATATGCTCGTGACTCATACATAGCCCATAGCAAGCAATTAATGTCAAGATCATATTTATCAAATCGTCCAGGCTTTTTGGATTTTAACTAGTTGAGAAACAATCTTATCGGGTAACAACCTGACGATACGTTTAGTCCCATTAGTACTTACTTTTAATGTAAAAAAATGGCAACAAATTTTTTACAAATATCACCATAGAAAATTCGTGACGTAGTCAATTTAATGCTGTTCAGACAGCACCACCTGGTGGTTATTCCTGTAAAGACAGCGCTACCTGGTAGTCATTCCTATTCAGACAGAACTACTTGTAGATTACGCCAGTTCGCACAGTTCCACCTACACGTCACCTATGTTAATATGCAGACATTAGACATTACAGTACACACATTGTAGTACCATAAGCTACGTGATATACATGTATGTATATATGTATATATATAAATATACACACATATACACATGCATACACATGCATACGGTTGATTTCAAGGACAACATCACGAGTGATGCGCACACGTCTTGCTAGACCTGTCGTTACTTACCAGTTAAAATGAAGTCAGTTAGACAATAATAAGAAATGTCGTTAGTAAAAATGATAAGAGAGGACAACGCCGCGCATCTCGTTAGACGTCTCGTTACTTACTAATTAAGCGTCTGCTCGAGGAACCAGTCGACGGGGATCATGGAGCCCTTGGAGCGGTGAGTGCTCACGAGTCCCTTCCCTCGTCGTCGAACAGTGCTCCGGCCCTCCTCACCTACCGCATGCCGGGGCAAAGAGAGACAGTCAGGCAGGAAGACAGTGGGCAGAGAGAGACAGTCAGGCAGGAAGACAGTGAGGACAGAGAGAGAGACAGGGAGGGAGACAGTGAGGAGAGAGAGACAGTCAGCCAGGAAGACAGTGGGCAGAGAGAGACAGGGAGGGAGACAGTGAGGAGAGAGAGACAGTCAGCCAGGAAGACAGTGGGCAGAAAGAGACAGGGAGGGAGACAGTGAGAAGAGAGAGACAGGGAGGAAGACAGTGAAGAGAGAGAGACAGTCAGTCAGGAAGACAGTGGGCAGAGAGAGACAGGGAGGGAGACAGTGAGGAGAGAGAGACAGGCAGTCAGGAAGACAGTGGGCAGAGAGAGACAGGGAGGGAGACAGTGAGGAGAGAGAGACA